TTTGTCTAACAAACTCGCTTGAAGATATTTGCGATCAAACTATACGATACAATTTAAATGCTGAAGTGGATAATTATAAATAAATCACATCAATAACTTAGTTTATAGTCAATTTTCATTCACTGAATTTGATAAAAATAACGAAAAGCTATATTAGAGGAAAGTGCAACAAGCCTACAAACCTTAATCAATGAAATTGTTTACTTTCTATCGCCGTCGTCGCGAATCAACTTTTATGGACGCGTTTTATTCATATAATAGTGTTCTGTTTTCTATACTTCTGTTGAAGATGAAGTACATCTAGGACTTATATCTAATACTGAGAAATTTGCCATATAAAATACAGCTTCTTTGAACAGTTCTACTGCTGGCGACGGTGGTTGACTTGACAAGCGCGGGTTTCAGTTTCAAACATCGAAATTGTGCTGGAACTGAGTGAGTTTTCGCTGTGTCTTGCGAAATATACTGGTGGAATATTTGCATTAATTCTTTTAGATGTCGATTAAAACTTGAAAATATATCTTAAGGACCTGCTGGTTCAGAAACTTTCAGTGTCTTTAAGCGTCACAATCATAATGAAGTCGCAGAGATGTCAGAGATGTATTCGTTCAGCTGTTTGCTTTTGGTCTCTTGGAATTGGATTTTTTTGCTTAAGACTTTTATTCTCTCGGCGGAAATTCATCGAGTTAGCTTTTCATTACTCGCCGTTTTAGCTGTTGAATTTTTGTTTTTTTCTCCTGGCAATATTAGTTGTCAATTCACTTTCTAAAATTCTTTGTCTCTATACTCATGAGAGGCTTGAAGTTGTTGATTGAATGAAAAACCGCTGCTTTATTTGACAACAGATTCTCTTGCTCAAAGACCTGCCAAACACAAAAGAGAGCACGAGAAAATATCGTTATTACAATAGCCTTGAAAATTTGATTCCCCGRGTTGAGACTAACCCTGTATTCCCATAAGACCTAAGGTACGAACCTTCTGGGAATACAGGGTTAGCCTCAACTCGGGGAAAATGTAAATTGYTAGCGCTATTGTACTAACAACATTTCCGCGTGCTTTCTTTTGTGTTTGGTAAGTTCTTTGCGTAATTGAATCTGCTGTCAAATAAAACAGCGGTTATTCGCTTRGAATTCGAAAATGGAGTATTCCGTGGTACGTTTTCACAAGTCTTTCCTGATTTGACGAAACGCTWTTCGCACGTGTGAGAAATTCGTTTTGCTCCTATGATTGGCTAGTTAATATTTTGAAACGGATTTTCAAATAGAAATATATGTGAGAAAATCTCAGTATGTGTATWATAAAATGTTATTTTCACTAGTGAAAATAACAAATTCGAGGTTTCTCTATATAGTGGAAGTAAAAAAAGCTATTTTACGACAAAATTTGCTTTCATATGTAATTGTATGATAAACAGCSTTTTTCATGGTCGCTTGCAGGAGATACGAATTTTATCTTCTCGTGTTGAAAATCTCTCACTCGAAGATAATAAGCTGAACTAATAAGATTATATTTTTAATAAAGCTTAACCCGCTTA